TGAATTTATTCATTAACCTTATTAGTGCAACTTTTTACAAAAAGTCATCTGTCTGTTTTTAATTAATCGCCAGGAATTCTTTAGCCATACCACTCGCGATATATTTCTTAAATACTTACCGTACATTAAACAGATGGGGGGGGGTTACTTCTCTTAGACTATACGTTTTGTATCCAAAACCTGCCACGTGCCAAAATCACATAACCTTTTCTTTCACAATGTTGATGACTTATCAGTAATTTGAATTTCTCTTTATTAGTGGTAGAGTGCCGATTCCCAGGACGACCTTTTTTAATTATTTTCTTTTGGTAAATTTCATAGTTTGTTGATTGTATCATTTTACACGTATTATATCTTTCTTCCTCAGCGACTCGGTATTCTGTTGAAATCTTTTGGACACTAATGTTACACAGGGTGCGGCAGAGAGGACGGACGTTTTTGGGATGGGTAGTACTCTCCGCCTCTGTCTACGAGAGAGGTGGGGAGGGTGAAGTTTGACTCATTGTCGTTTCCACCTTGAACGGTGGAGCACCGCGTTTTCGTCTATGATTGTTTCGTCCGAAATAATGAGTCAGTCATCGTCGTACAGCGTGAGTTTCGTCGCCACTCCAAGAGTCATCGGAATAGAGCTGTTCCCTCTCGAAACACCATCCTTCGTTGGGTTGAATCACTTCGCAGGCGTTGTGAACTGATCAACAGAAGACCAAGAGGAGCGCCGCGAACAGTTCGAACTCCTGAAAATGTTGAACGCGTTCAAAATGAGAACCTCATTTTGTTTATGAGTGACGAAGCCCACTTTCACCTAAACAGCATGGTTAACCAGCAGAATTCTCGTTACTGGGATAATGAAAATCCGCAACAGTTACACGAAAGACCGCTGCACAGCCCAAAAGTAGCGGTTTGGTGCGCTGTATCGCAAACTTGCATCACTGGCCCTTACTTCTTCGAATACGGTAATGGTCGTGATGTTACCGTGAACTCAGAGCGCTACGTCGACATGATCACCAACTTCTTTCTCCCTGAATTACGACGGCGACGTGTTCCAATCCGACGTGTGTGGTTCTAGCAGGATGGGGCGACCGCCCAAACAGCCCGAGCATCCATGGACGTTATTCGCCCTCTCTTCCCTGGTCGCCTTATTTCCAGGTTTGGCGATGTTCATTGGCCTCCTCGGTCCCCAGATTTATCCATATGCGATTTTTTCTTATGGGGACACCTCAAGGCTAGAGTATACGCGAACAAGCCCCGAACTCTGGACGAATTGAAGGGCGATATTCGCGTGGAAGTCGCCCAAGTTGAGAGAGCGATGTTGGAGAACTTCCAAGAACGCCTCCAGCACTGCATCAACGATTTCGGCCACTACATGCCTGATGTGATTTTTCACACTTGACTGTCTCAAATGCTATTTCCTTGTGAACCTGATTCCATCAATCAATTTGTTTTCGAGTAAAAATAAACTATTTTATGATTTTTTTAAAACCGTCCATCCTCTCTGCCGCACCCTGTAGTATCTCAGAAATTTCATCGGTCCCTCTTAGAGTTAGTTCTGCCCATTGGCAACCAGCACGCCACTTTGTGATTTATACACGAACTAAACTATATAATATTTCCTTTCCCATCAAGATACCTTTTTTTGAAATGCGATTTACTATCAAGATTCCTTCTTTACCTATCGAGATACCTTCTTTTCTTATCAAAATACCTTGCGCCATTTTGCTTTTGCTTTCCGTTGTGGTTTTGGTTGTGCGTGGGTCGTTCCGTTGGTAATATCTTCTAGATTCTGGGATTTTGGACCACCGAACACCAGTTTGTGGAGTAGTACCCTTTACTTTGTATCTTACGTTATATGTTTTGGTTTGGGTGCTACCTCGTCTATCTTCTAATGGCATTTTAACCTTCAGCGCAGAAAGGCATTGCTGAAAACCACCATTCACACTCCTCCAGCTTTGTTTTTTAGCTGCCTCGTAGCTGTTTGCAACCGATTCTGCTGGAAGCCACTCCTTCCCCTTGTCAAAAAACTCTGATGTGAACATTTTTTATGTCGTAAATTTTAAGAACGAGGCAAGCAGCTCCTATCTTGTGACGTGCCCACGGCTGGCCAGTTTCTTTTGACCTGAGCGTTTGTGAGCTGGGGACATCTCGGCGCTCATAGAGCTGTAACTGGAAGAAGACCACTGTCCAGAAAGTTTAAGTTTGGGCGTTAAGATATTTGTACAGCCTATATTTGTAAAGCTTTTGTACGTTTACCATGGTAAATGTTTTGCAGGGTGGGTCATTAAGGTCTAATAACACTGGACAACAAATTTTAGTTTTTTAATTGTATCTTGTGGGAAAAGTTTGCACTTCTTTGTTAATTTTGGGGCGCTGAATCCAAAAATGACAATGACATAAAAAAATTAGTTGCGGTTTAGAAAAAAAACTTTACTTTTAAGGATATATTAAAAAAGGTAACAAGATTCATATACTTATAAGAATCACTATATGCGCTGTCTTTTTGCTGTTCTTTTATGGATCGTTTCTGGAGCATCTCTATTAAGAGTCCAACAGTAGTCTGCAAGCATGGACGGATTCCACTTTCCCTGGTACATTTTTTCCATTGTTGAAATATCCTGATGAAAACGTTCGCCGTGCTCATCACTTACGGCTCCGCAATTGTCAGGAAAAAAGGTGTGAGTGTAGGAAATGTATCTTTTGATACGATGACAGCATATTTTTGACAAGGGTTTTATAGTTGTCAGCTGTTCTATTTCCCAAGAAATTAGTGACCACCAGACGGAAATCATTCCAAGCAGTTTTTTCAATACCTGTTAAAGTGTTTTCAAACTGTGTATCTTTCAAAATATTTCGAATCTGTGGCCCAACAAAAATACCTTCTTTAACCTTTGCCTCACTTAGTCTTGGAAATTCCTGACGCAAGTATTGAAAAGCTGACCCATCTCTATCTAATGCCTTGACAAAGTTTTTCATTAGGCCCAACTTGATATGCAGTGGTGGTAATAAATTTTTTTTCGAATCTACTAATGGCATATGCTGTACACCTTTTTGACCTGGCTCTAGGAATTGACGAACAGGCTAGTTTTGTCTGGTGTAATGAAGTGCCTTTGCCCGACTGTCCCATTCACACAAAAAACAGCAAAACCTTGTGTAGCCTAGCTGCAGCCCAAGTAAAAGTGCAACAACTTTCAAATCGTCACAAATATGCCATTGGTGCTCATCGTATTTTATGCATGTCAATAGGTACTTCATATTGTCATATGATTCTTTCATGTGAACTGCATACCCTACAGGAAGAGATGGTAAAATATTTCCAATATGCAATAACACTGCCTTTAAACAAAATGTTGAACTGTCTATAAACAATCTCCATTCTTCTGGGTTATAGTTTATATTTAAAGCCGCCAGTAAGCCGTTAATGTTACTGCAGAAAACCAAGTTATTCTCCATATTGGAAAATGGTTCTAAGTCTTTGTGGCGTTTACGAAAAACACATACCGAAACATCATCTTCTAAAAAGTTCCACTGCTGCAGTCTTGATCCAAGTAACTCTGCCTTACATTTTGGAAGTTCTAAATCTCTTACAAGATCATTTAATTCTGACTGTGTTATTTTGTGCGGTTGGTGGCATGACGTGCTCGATATAAAATCAGGATCTCTTGACGTTGATGGCATATCTTCTTCCTGAGGAATCACTCGATCGCCATGATCTGATTCGTTTTCTGATTCGCAAGTGTAGGATTCTGGGGGTTTTGGAATAGGATTTTCGTCACTGTGAGGCACAGGTCTCATCGCTGATGGTATGTTTGGGTAGTTAATAACCGATTTTTTTTTCTTGGACATACCTGTGGCTTGTCCAACACAAGGTACCATACAAAAGTAACAATCCTTAATATGATTTGTAGGCTCTCTCCAAACCATTGGGACAGCAAAGCGCATAGACCGTTTTTTGCCATTTAACCAGCTCCTCAGACTTGAAGCACATGTATTACAGCAGATGTGGGGTGCCCACTGTTTGTCTTGATCACCTAGTTTACAACCGAAATAAAGCTGATATGCCTTTGTTATTAGTGGAGTAATAGACCGTCTCTGAGACGCAAAAGTCACATCACCACACACGTAACAAAACTGATCTGGATTGTTTACGCCCTTTCTAGACATCTTGCATGAACGCTGTCAGCCAACTGAGGAAAAAATGGCTAATATAAAACAATATAATGTACACGTATGTATAACGTAACACAATCATGCCGATTACATCATCTTTCCTTGCCGAATATAAAAATGTAGCACGTGCATTCTTGTGAATTACAGTATATTAACACTGTCACAGCAGGAACACATATAATTACCGTATCTCTAAAACTTGAACTAATATTGAAAAAATAAGTTTCATTCCGGTTTTAGCACATTAAAAATAGTAATATTTTGTTGATTTTATTTAGGATACTTTTTGGCTGTTGATCAGTGTAATTTTATTGTCAGGAAGTTTTAAATAATATCCTTTATTTTAACTTGCACTCCAGTGGTGAAGCTTATGTGCTGCTTGTTTTGATAATATATTGTGATTTGTTTTAAATGTATTGTTTTATTTGGCTATCTGTCTACAATTCATTAGGTTTTGTCATTACTGTGAGATTTTTTCTTTTGTGTTTGTGGTCAGGCTAAAAAAGTTCCGACTAACATCTCGGAGATTTGTGGCTAATTATTCCGTCTTAAGTCACTGCTGGTCTCAACCCCCTACCCTCCGCTTTACTGAGCTAGAGCCTAAATTTGCACGCCATTTGTAAAAAAAATAAAGATGAATCACATCACCATTTCCTTATTTTTATAAAAAAAGGCGTGGCAAACTTACGAAAGAAATAACGAAGACAAACTTCACCATCCTTAAAAAATACACGTAAATAGTCTATTCCAGCTACTGAAGATGCACTGTTGTCCAGATAGAGGAAACACCAGGAGAAATATAAAAATTTAAGTTTGTTACGTTAATGTTATAATCTCACCTCTCCAATCAGATACTTGAGACTATTCCATGGTAGCCTAGCGTCTTTGGCTTTAAGAGCTTTCGTTAAGTACGTGCTTAAAATTGTTACGCAAACGTTGAAATCCGACTCGTTGAAGTCGTAGCAAATGTTCCAACCAATTTTGTCGTACTTCCGGCGTTCCTGGACGACAGCATGAAAAAAGGCTAACACGTATACTAGCGGCTTGAAAGCAGTGTGTTGACAACAGTCCAGGGTCTGCGGGTGCATCTTGAAGTAAGTGTTACGCAAGTTCAGCTTCAGACCTATAAGAAATATCACAGTTATACATTACCTACAATTCTTTAATTTCGTTCAATGTATGGTACGGGTGTCCAGTGGAAAAGTTACCTTTTTGATTTATGAAAAACAATACAAACTTAATGAAAAGAATATATTTATTACTATCTACATATTCGTAAATTCGGCGGGTTTTATCTCTTAAGTATCAATCCGTCCAAATGCTTGCCATCCCTTCGGAGACACTCTTTTAATCGCGCGCGCAAATTCTGAAACACTCTCTTGCAGAGTTATGGAATGATATTTATTTCTCGTCGAATGTTCTCTTCAAGCTACTAAAGTGTTCGTAGATTATTGGAATACACTGTTGACTTTAGACAAAAGATAATCGCATGGCGTGAGGTCGGGTGACCTAGGAGGCCAGTGAATATCTCCAAACTTCGATATAACTTTTTCAGGAAAAAGTGCTTTCACCGTGTTCATCGATTCTCTGGAAGTATGGGCAGTGGCCCTATCCTGTTGAAAACATGTTAAATCTACGTTCTGTTCTTACAATAGGAGCAAAACAAGTGTCAATCATCTCCTTGGATCGCTCGGAATTGACTGTCAATGCATGATCGTTTTTATCTTCGAAGAAATACGGCCCAATAATAGAGGATATAGCGCACCAAACAGATCTTTGGACTATGTAGCTGTTGTTGATGTTTCTCTTTTGGGTTTGTTGGTGCCCAATATCTGCAATTTTGCTTGTTCACATAACCGCTTAAGTGAAAATGGGCCTCGCCTCTGAAAACAACGTTCTCGAGTCTACGCTGTTTAGGAAGATGATTAAGCATCAGTTCAGCACAAGATTTCCGTAATATGTAATCACTTTCCTTCGAATCATGGACTGATTGGATTTCATAAGGAAGAAAACCCATTTTTTTCTTCATTATGCCATGCAGTGATTTTTTTGTTTGTTTCAGATTTATTTAGCATCAATGCTACAATGTCCATAATATCCATATTACACAGTATATCACAAAATATATTGTCTTTAAGACATATTTTTATACAAAATTTCACTACTATAAATTCTGGTTTTCGATGAGATATTTTTTCAATTTTCCTTTGAACATTTTCAAACTGACACATACTATATCTTGATATCGTTACTTAATTTATTAAATTCGCACAATCCCTTTTGAAATACTGACTTGCTCGTTATATTGCTACTGCAGTTTTGGTAATGAAAGTCTCTATACTTATAAAGTTTTCTAGTTTTCTAAGTGATTTCGTAGAAGATTTTTTAAATTGAATATGAAAACGAAAACCAAGTAGGCTATGAAATTTTTGATATTTAACCATTGTAGTTCTTTCAGCATAAAATTTATTCTAGTATATCTATTTTTATTTAAGATGATTCTCATAGCATTATTTTGTAATATTTGTAGTTTTGAAAATACAGAGCTATTTGCAGTGAACAAAATAGTCGAACAATATAACAACTGAAGAAGAATGATAGTGTTGTACACAACTTTTTTAAAATAAACGCTTAGGTTATGCGAAATTCTATAAAAGTAATTTATTTTCTTGGATATTTTTGAAATAATATATTCATAGTGCCCTTCAAATTTTAATTTACTGTCTACGTATATGCCCAAATATTTAAATGATTCGATTGACACAATTTTTTCATGATTAATTGTAAGATTTATCGGATTTTGATCTAAAGATTTTCCTATTAGCATATACTTTGTTTTGTTTGTGTCTAGTTTAAGTTTATTTACATTTAACCAATTTATTACGTTTTTCATATCATTATTTAACAGCTCTGTTGCAGTTTCAACGTCTTTTTGTAATATATATATATAACTTGAGACGTGGTCATTGTCGTCTAGACCAGTTCGGTGAAAAATTAAAGCTTCCGCCTTTTGTTGGGTACTTCGACAAAATTTAAGCAAAGAGGACTCTTTATACTTTTTTTAATTCTCTCTAGCTTTCAATGGACTTTGCTATCATCATCAGGAGCTGCAATTACATTGGTAACAGTAGCAACAATAGTGTAAAATGAATTTAAATTGACTTAACTTACAGTAGTATGTGAGGATATTGCTAATTGTTGTTTACGTTCAGGATGAGGGAAAAACCCAGTAACATGGTGAAAGCTGGATAGATGGTACAATGGTCAAAATTATATAAAATACACACAAATACGTGACAAGAACAAGTTAAAAACAGATTAAAAATTTTTTGAACATGAAAGCATTACATCGTGAAGCCACTTGATGATTGTACAAAATGGTGGTCATGGAATAGTGAGTGAGATGAACCCTTTGACAGAAGGCCGAAGGTTGTCAATGTCTGTGTAGAAAGATGGAACGAATTGTGGGCGTGTGCCGAACGTTGCCAAATCACTTCAGACGATGTGATTTTCAGAATGTTATGTAAGAAATTGTTAAACCGACCAGAGGCAGTTGAATTAACTATATTTTAATTAATGGGATATTAAATTAACAATTATTATTAAATCGTAAGGAGAAAATTATTAGAATTTGAGTGGAATGAAGTTTATTGGTGGAATCGACCAAGAAACAGATTCCATTTATGGTTGTAAAGAGTCAAAATTTGGGGAGATATGTAAGTTCTCCAATTTTTCGCAGTTTAGCAAATATGAGTAAATGACACTCAGTTGCTTAACATCTGTCTTTTTGTTGATACAGTTGTTATTCATGAAAATGTGGGACATTTCCAGGAATAAACGTTTGGATAGGTGTTTTTCTTTATCAAGAACTTTGATACTTGTGTAATTCATAGAGTGCCCTGTTGTGTTAACATGAGATGCTAGAGCGCATCTTTCAGGATGAAGCCTAGAATCACTTTTGTGTGATGTAATCCTTCCTTTAAGAGATCTGGAGGTCTGACCTATGTATATTTGGTTGCAGTTGTTGCAATTGATGGAGTAGACAGTCTTTCATTTTTGATAAAATGCAGTTTAGAGTGAGGACGGATTTACAAGCAATTCGAAAGTTCAAAGGACTGCACAATCTGATCAGCTTAGGGGTCAGTTCCTTGATATAGGATAGGACAGCAAAACCAGGTCTGGAGTTTGGGTTGGTGCTTGTACTGTTTGAATTGATATTATTGTTGGGAATTCTATCAGTTCTGTTATTAGGGGTTGTGCGACTATTACTTGTATCATTAGAGTTTGGCAAAATATTGGAAGGTGAACTAAATAAGATCTTGTTAAACAGACACTTCGGATAACCATTATTGATGAACAGTTTTGATAGTTTACGAAAAATTTGAGGTGTGGAAAGTATTGCCTGAGATGCTGATTACCCTTGTTTTCATCTGTTTCACCAAGTTGATTTTAATCCCTAGCTTATGGTATAACCTAAAATTGAGAAACCGACCTGAGGCCATAGGTTTCTGGTACCAGTCTACCAATAAACTATTGTTGTTGGTGCGGATGAGTCTTGTGTCTAGAAAGGGGATAGACTGGTTCTCATCTTCTTTTTCAATGGTAAATTGGATGTAGGGGTCATAGCTGTTGAATTCTCTGACAATACCATCCAGACCTATGGAGGGGAGGCATAAAATAATGTCATCTACGTATTTTTTTATGAAGAAGAGGTTATAGGGTAGTGTCGGAATAACAGTATCAAGCAGATCATCCATGACATATTCTGCCAATTTGGCACCAACAACAATAGTTTATTGGTAGACTGGTACCAGAAACCTATGGCCTCAGGTCGGTTTCTCAATTTTAGGTCATACCATAAGCTAGGGATTAAAATCAACTTGGTGAAACAGATGAAAACAAGGGTAATCAGCATCTCAGACAATACTTTCCACACCTCAAATTTACGTAAACTATCAAAACTGTTAATCAATAATGGTTATCCGAAGTGTCTGATTAACAAGATCTTATTTAGTTCACCTTCCAATATTTTGCCAAACTCTAATGATACAAGTAATAGTCGCACAACCCCTAATAACAGAACTGATAGAATTCCCAACAATAACATCAATTCAAACAGTACAAGCACCAACCCAAACTCCAGACCTGGTTTTGCTGTCCTACCCTATATCAAGGAACTGACCCCTAAGCTGATCAGATTGTGCAGTCCTTTGAACTTTCGAATTGCTTGCAAATCCGTCCTCACTATAAACTGCATTTTTTCAAAAATGAAAGACAGAGTCCCGCTGCTTGGCTTAACCAACACAGTCTACTCCATCAATTGCAACAACTGTAACCAAATATACATAGGTCAGACCTCCAGATCTCTTAAAGGAAGGATTACATCACACACAAGTGATTCTAGGCTTCATCCTGAAAGATGCGCTCTAGCGTCTCATGTTAACACAACAGGGCACTCTATGAATTACACAAGTATTAAAGTTCTTGATAAAGAAAAACACCTATCCAAACGTTTATTCCTGGAAATGTCCCACATTGTCATGAATAACAACTGTATCAACAAAAAGACAGATGTTAAGCAACTGAGTGTCATTTAGTCATGTTTGCTAAACTGCGAAAAATTGGAGAACTTACATATCTCCCCAAATTTTGACTCTTCACAACCATAAATGGAATCTGTTTCTTGATCGATTCCACCAATAAACTTCATTCCACTCAAATTCTAATAATTTTCTCCTCACGATTTAATAATAATTGTTAATTTAATATCCCATTAATTAAAATATAGTTAATTGAACTGCCTCTGGTCGGTTTAACAATTTCTTACATAACATTCTGAAAATCACATCATCTGAAGTGATTTGGCAACGTAGCACACGCCCACAATTCGTTCCATCTTTCTACGCAGACATTGACAACCTTCGGCCTTCTGTCAAAGGGTTCATCTCACTCACTATTCCATGACCACCATTTTGTGCAATCATCAAGTGGCTTCACGATGTAATGCTTTCATGTTCAAAAAATTTTTAATCTGTTTTTAACTTGTTCTTGTCATATTTTATATAATTTTGACCATTGTACAATCTATCCAGCTCTCACCATATTACTGGACGTTTCCCTCATCCTATACGTAAACAACAATTAGCAACATCCTCACATACTACTGTAAGTTGAGTCAATTTAAATTCATTTTACACTTTTGTTGCTACTGTTATCATTGTAATTGCAGCTCCTGATGATGGCAAAGTCCATTGAAAGCTAGAGAGAATTAAAAAAAGTATAAAAAGTCCTCTTTGCTTAAATTTTGTCGAAGTACCCAACAAAAGGCGGAAGCTTTAATTTTTCACCTAACTGGTCTAGACAACAATGACCACGTCTCAAGTTATATGTATATATATATATATATATATATATGAATGTATCATCAGCAAATAGTTGAATTTTGCAGTGTTGTAAAATATTAGGAATATCGTTAATATGTAAAATAAATAGTAATGGACCTAATTTGCTACCATGTGGCACACCTACCGAAATGTTTTTAATGTTTGATAATGTATTGCCAATTTTAGTTCTTTGACTTCTATTGATTAAATAATTTTGAGATAAGTTTAATACTAATCTTTGAAATCCATAGCAATGCAATTTCGTTAACAACTTCTCCCTGTCAATAGTCCCAAATGCTCTCTTGAAATCTAGGAACAATGTTACTGCAAACTTTTTTTATCCATATTTCGTCTCATTCTTCTACCATTTGAATTGCTGTTTCAGTAGAATACTTTTTCTGAATCCTGCTTGAAATTTTGTCAATATCTTATTTTCATCAATATACGAGGGATGTCTTTTAAGTTTTGCATACGGAAATAAAACAACAAGGTAGGTACTTTTAAATGACTTTATTGTTTTTCGAAGTATTCTCCAAGTTTTCTTCCATTAAATACTGCCTTGTTTTTTTGGCTGTGTGCAAGCTTGCATTGTCCTGGTGGAGGATGATTCTTCTTTCGGGGTTGATTTTTCGAAGCTCGCTGAGGACTTTTGGCAAACAAATGGTGGTATTCCAATCCGCAGTAACAGCTCTTTGCTCATTAAGAGGGATTGTTGCAATATGTCCCGCTTTTGACACAAATGTCGCGACTATCTTTTTCGAAACATTTCGAGAACGGATGAATTTTGTTGGCTTTTCTTCACCTTGGAACACCCAAACAGCCGACTGTCGTTTATTTTCTGGTTCATAACAGTAAATCCACAATTCATCACCACTAACAATGCTGTACACATTTTTTGAGTTTCCGGAATTGAAAGGGTCAAGCGTTTTTTGACACCAATTAACCCTGGCTGCTTTCTGCTCTTCAGTCAACAGGTGGGGTATCCAACGAGAAACTAATTTTCTTACTCCTAATTCTTCATGTACATTTTTTGAATTGAGGTCTTTGAGATCTTCAAGGACACCTCAATCTCGCGATATGTCACAAGTCTATCTCCAAAATTTCAACTTCGACAAATAGCGGTTCGACTTCTTCAGAGGACAACAATTGCTCGCAAAAGATTCATTGTTTCCCTAGCTGTATGACAAGTCGCTCCGTCCTGCTGGAACCAAATGTTTTGCAGGTTGAATTGTTGGATTTGAGTAGCCAGAAACTTTTGCACCATATCACGGTAGCGCTCGCTAGTGAGAGTAAGCAAATTACCTGCACTATCTTCAAAGAGGTAGATGTAGTGATCGTTAATGGATGACACGAGGGTTCTCTAATGCCCGGACACGAGAATTCTGCTTATTCGCAAATCCATTCATATCGAAGTGGGCTTCATCGCTGATTATCAGTTGTCGGTAAAAATCGTTATTTTGGGTATTAAGCTGCAATATTGCATGACTGTATTGTCGGCGACTTTCGTGGTCACTAGCCTGTAGTTCTTCGGTTAACTGAACTTTGTATGGCCGCAAATGTAACTTTTTTTTTCAAAATAGTGCATAATGACGTGCGACAAATACCCAGTTCTTGAGAACCATGTCTGGTAGACGTCTCAGGGCGCTCCACTACACTTTCACGATCTCGCGAGTACGAACAGTTCGAACACGTACCGACCTTTGACTATGTTTGTTCAAATTTCCGCACCAATTAACGAATGGTGTTGACACCGTGCACATTATTTTGACCGAAACTTGTCGTAGCTTCCAAATCGTCGCAGCAATACGGACGCATTGTGGGATCGTGTAGCACTCCATGATGAATCGGACACATGAGCTTTAAACAACTACTACGGCGCCACCTACTGAAATGCGTGTATCGAAAATGGCGCGCAATTCAAATCAGTGTCAGTTATATATTGGCCACCCTATATAAGCAAAGTACTGAATTTTGGACTTTTCCCATTGCTTATAAAAAACAACTTCCGTTTAAAACTGCCAGATATCTGCTATACTTTTTCCCCCTTTTTTATCTAGCCTGGATTAGAAATATAGGAGCTTTAATATTGCGATATTAGCAAAGCCTGACCAATTTCTGACGCAATAGCCTAATGCCTGAAATGTTGTAGTCACCTTATGAAGGATGTGGTCATTAAATATCAGTTTAGCGTCGAAAACGACACCCAAATCTTTGAAAGTCGAGATCCGCTCAACCAGGTCATCATCAATGTTTCAACGATCGGATGTATTTTTCTAGCATTTTGAAATAATTATATCGAGTCGATTGCAGTATCGTCAGCTTACCATTAGGAGGTTCCGTAACCACCTTTAACGACCTTTGAAGTATGCCTATGGGGAAAGTATTCACTGGATCTGTTGTTAACCACAACCTAAAATCGGGATGTGGTTTCGTGATTTTCTCCAACTGTTTCTCCAATCTCCGGATAAATGATAACAAAAGATGACAGTTCTGGAACATCAGCCATTGTCCTCTACTGATGGCTACATCCAGCAGGCTCAATGCTGTCGGTTCTTGTCCTTGACCCAGTGACAGATACTTGAACTTTCCAGCTCCAAATCCACACCTAAAAATAACTCAACTTACATAATTTGTGTAGAATAGGTATAATATTTCTAATCCAAATTCAAACCGACAAATACGGGCCCCTTCCCACTTTAGTTGGCCCAACTATTGATATCTTAGTTATTTTCCTATCAAGCACAAATAATAAAAATGTATCAGGGTGTTATAGGTTTAAAATATTAACAATGAATATTTTGATAATATATAGTAGAAAACACCAACTTTATCACTCCCTAATCAAATTTGCAGCATAAAAATAACACATGTTGCAATTACATCATATCAACCTATTTTCATTTCAATGCAAAATAAGTCTATAACGCATAGGTGGCTGTGAAAAATAAAAGCCATGACAATTGTTTTTATTAATCACAGCTGTCAGAATACGTTTAAAATAGTTTTGGGTGGTTAAGGTTTTCAAAATGGGTAGAGGAAAGGTTATTAGTGAGAAAATTCGGTTACTGATAATTGAATTTTTTAATTCTGGGAAATCAAACTCAGAAATTGCAACTTTGTTAGACTTATCGCGGTACAGTGTGAGAAATATTGTTAGAAGATATAACGTAACTGGTTCAGTTAATATTAAACAGGCGTGCCAATTACTTACAATTAAATGCTCTGTAGAGTGTTGCTATTGGAAGGAGAATTTCGAGGTCTATAACTCATAGAGAGGTCCACAAACTGGGATTTAGCACTTGCAAGGTAAGTTTTCTTATAAAAAGAAGTGAAGTAAAAACCCTAAAGTTGCACAACTTGGTTAAAGGCCAAAGAAAAGCCATTATTAACTCCAATGCAAAAGAAACATCGGCTTAGATGGGCTAAAGAACATAGACAATGGACACCTCAACAATGGTGTGCAATACAATAGAGTGATGAGGCCCGATTAGAAGTTTGTGTTGGTGACAGTCGCAGTAGAGTTATTCGCAAAAAAATTAAGCATTCCATGTTGACTGACCGAAGAGAAAAGTGAAATTTCCAGCATCCATTATGGTCTGGGGCAGTATGTCATCAATGGAGTAGGAAAACTTCATTTTATTGATGGAAATGAGGATGCAAACAAATACAGCAGACGCTCGATAATGTAAACTAATTTAATCCAAGTGTGGTTCACATTATCGAAATGTTTACATTAGCGAACGTGATTTATATAATATTTGATTTATTAAAAGAAACGTTTAATATATACTATTTATAACAAAATAAACAAATATTCTAACAGCGATAAGTATTTTTTTAATTAGAAGAAAAATAATTAACAATTTTTGTCTGCGTAAATTTGCGCTTAGCATTGTCTTCCAATGCCTGCGCCCGTAATTTACGAAGAACTAAAATATCCGTGTATGAAACTTCTTTTCTTTCAGCCCAATCTAAAGCTTGGTTAAAAACTTTTATAGGTTGCGCGTCAGTCACTACACTTCTGACTTCAATGGGATCGTTCTCATCTTCCTCACTGTCCATATCCTCCTCCTTATCAGCATCATTCGTCTGCTTGTCTTCGTTCCATAAATTAATATCAGCAGGAGTACAAACAATGTTGGGATTCACTGTTTTCAATAAATCAACAACATCCAATGACACACTAATAACATTATCATTATTGGATCGCAAACGTTCTCTAATTACGCTTAAGGGAACATCGTCTTCTTCATCATCTTCATTATTAGTACAAAAGAGATTGTTCCAACATTTTTGAATAGTTTGCTGGATAAGTTCATTCCAGGCCATATGTAAATCTAAAACAGCTTCTCGTAATGTTACTTTTTTTAAAGCCTCAGATAAGTTTTCAGGATTCTTTGATAAGACAGACGAAAGTAGAAACTTCCTATATACGTAGTATAGTTTGGTGAGTCTTATTATATTCTGGTCCATCTGTTGAATTAACGGTGTTACGTTGGGCGGCATGTACATGACGAAAATTGACCCATCCCTGCTCCTCAGTTGTTGCTCGGGAGGATGACTTGGTGCATTATCCAATAGTAACAACGCTGTTATTGGAAGCTTCTGTTGTTTTAGGAAACCTTTTACCTAGAAATTGAAAACTCATCTTCAAATTATGAATAGAGCATTTGTGATAATTGATTGTCATACCTGAGGGACAAAGCACCTGTGGAACCATTCCAGGAATATACTGCTAGTCATCCAAGCGGTTTTTGAACAGTCATAGTCAACAGGGATATTAACATTTTTAAATGAGCGCGGATTTTTTGTTTTCCCAATTACCAGTGGCTTTATTTTGTGTGAACCATTAGCATTAGTGCATGCTAGAAACGTTATTCGTTGTTTCTCCGGCTTTCTTCCCGGAGCAGATTTTTCAAATGATGCAGCATAGATTTTCTCTGGTAACATTTTCCAATAAAGGCCACTTTCATCTGCGTTGTAAATTTGTTCCATTCTTAAATCTAGCTCGGTAATTGTTTTCATCAATTTTTCTTTGAATGGTTGCACTAATTGTGGTTGTGCTGAAAATTTTTCACCAGATATAGACAGCAGTCGAATTCCATATCTTGTTTTGAATCGTCGTAGCCAACCATCACTAGCTACGAAATTTTCAGTTTCTTCCAGTTTTTCATTTAACAGTATCGCTCTCTGTTTAAGTACTTCACCACTAACTGGGACATGATTTTCCGTTGTTTTAAAAACCACTTATACAGGGAATTTTCCATTTTAGGTGCCTTCGCATTTTTTATAGTTTTTCTTTTTCCCGGACCTCCAAATGTATTGCACGTTCTTTGTAAAATTTGAGTTCTCATCCGCTTAATTTTACAGATTGTTGCTTTCGATACTCCATATTTTTTTGCTAACTGTGTCATTCCCGCACCTAGTCCAACTTCCTCTATGATTTTCACTTTCTCACTCAACTTTAAACACTTTCTTTTATAGGATGTGGATGCCATAGTCGTAAAATATATTAACGCGTGCAATGTATTCACTTAAGTTCAAAAATGAAATACATACGTACGTATAAACGTATCCTAAACGATCATACGACTGACTGAGTTTGTCGTATTTTATCGCAGAGGTGAATCCCCTACACTCTACATCATAAATCGGGGACTCCCCGACGCCCGACGTAAATCATCGAGGCTTCAGCATTTTACCGTCGCGCTGTTTCCGTGCGCCGAGAGTTGTTTACGTTATCGAGCGTACACATTGTTTACGTTATCGCGCGTTCCGTTTGATCCTATAGAACGAAGTTTGTGTTTACATTAGCGCAAGTTTTCATTATCCCGTGTTTACGTTATCGAGCGTCAGCAAGATGGTGCAGCCTGCCATACCTCAAAAATGGCTATAAAATGAATGGAAGAAAATAATGTACCACTTTTGAAATGGGTTTCTAGCAGTCCAGATCTGTCTGAAAAAGGTTCTACGACAACATCCTGCTCGTACAATCACCGAACTGACACAAAAGCTTCAAGAAATATGGGATTCTTTTACACCAAATTTTTGCCAAAACTTGGTTAACACTATGCCCCAAAGAATTTCAGCCTTAATGAAAACTAAAGGTGATGTTACCCAATGGTAATCTTTCAATTGGCGCTTTGTTAACTTCGCGCATTTATTCGCACATTGTTTATTTGTTCAAATGTTCTATTAGTTATAGGTCTAAGTGATTACAAACATGTATTTTTTACGACTATAGTGTATCTAAAATGTTTTTGAGCAAATAAATTGTTTTAGACTGAAGTGAGAAGGGGCTCGTAGATAGTTCGGCAGAACAGCTCACTAGGCTAGTTGACAATTCTTTTTCAGTAGGCGTTAGATAGCCAATATTTATTATATACTAAATGATATAGAAAATGCAACACCGACTAATACTGCTGTAATTTTGAGCATACTTTTACAAGTTTTAGGTCTGGTGTTAAATAGAAACTGATTGAAATTGTAACTCGAAATTTCGCAAAATAGCTGAGATATCTCAATGTTAATGATGTATTGAAGCTCCTTTTTTCGCTACACATTCGTTAAGTCGTCGCGGCATTGATTGGATTAGGTGACTGGTGTCTTCTTGATGTATTGTATCTCTGGGCATCTGAATTTGGTTTCGTAGAGCCTCCAATGTTTGTGAAGGGTGCGGTGAATTTTACAACCTTCTTCCCAACATGTCTCATACATGTAAAACATCGTGATACCACAACACCCACAGTGCGACGAATATGCCGTTTTATGGAATATTGGACCTTCCGTTTTTCTCTTTCTTATTCTTGCACGGCCATCATGTGGTCCCAAACAGAATCTGGACTCATCGCTGAATACGACTAGGTTCCAATCCACATATCATTCAAGTCTCTCCTTACTCCAAACCAATCGTTGCCGACGATGCTGTGGGGTCCGAGGTAGTACAAGATGGGGACGGTATGAAAACAGTCAAAAAGACCTTATTCGGCAATAAACTGAGCTCATTATTATCGCTCTTCCGACAGCACCAAATCATTGGTTCGCATTTGCCCTTGTTGTGGAAAATCGATATACAGTGCTTTTCTTTAATGATCCCCTCCCCTTTGATTTTTTGAACGGATCAATTCAGAAAATTAAAACTTGAGTCAATGAAATTGATGCGTGGATACCATATTTTAGAGTAAAATTGATAGATGAAAATGTCAAGATGGAAAAAAATTATATGAAAACGGGGATCTTGTGCCACATCATTTCGAAGCTCCTGGCGAGTACTTTATCACCCTAGAATATAAAGTCAATACCTTTACCTACTACAAAATGGTGGTACATTTAATAATTACTTGAACACAAACCCACTATCATGCATATTTCTACAAATAATTGTAATTCCCTGCCGTATCCACAGCAACAGCGATAAAAACTTGTTCTGTTATTTTTTGTTGACAGTGGCAAGAATATCAGTACGAAAACAAATATTACTCTTCAGTTAAAATATTCTTATTTAGTTTTCGGTTTTAGTGCTAGATACTGTTTGACCTATTTTTAAAATGGTCCATTCTCGTCCATTGGAAGAAAAAATCGAAGCGATCTCGTAAAGATCGGAAA